CAACTCCAACCAACAACTCCAACCAACAACTCCAACCAACAACTCCAGCCACAACCCAAGCCACAACGTAATTGAAAATGGCTTCATAATACTGTAGCAAGTTATTTAATAGTTTAAATTGTGTACACTTCTCAGTTCCTTAGTAGGCAAAATTTGAATTGAAGAAACTTTAAAACATATCAAAAAGTGCTTGTGCGCCTTAAAAAATGAGTACAACTTGAAAAGCTTTCCTGAATCTGTACATTGGCAGAATCTCTCATTTCTGAGAAATAATTAACATAAATATTGTAAAGATTATCATTTGTTTCCAAAGGTTAAACAATGAACTGCTACGATCACCATCCATTAAAAGGCAAGGGTATGGTATATGAGAAAAAGTAGAGAAGTTATACTCCATATATATCAAACATTATTTGGGTCATTCTTGGCATACCGCATACACTTTCTAATATGTTTATCATTTTGTGTTTTAGGTATCAGATATCTTTGAAGGAATAAATTGCCATTAAACTTCTACTAGTGGCCCAACTAAAATTTCCCATATCCCAAATGGCCTACGTTTTTAGTGAATAGGGTGACCTAATGAATAGTCCTTAAAGTGGCTGCTGCAGATCACCTTGAAAACAAACTAAAAATTATAGTGCTGTGAATATTTATGTGGACAGAAGAAGTACAAGTATGTCCAAAACAATGTACAGCTTGAATGTTATTCTGAAATGTAGCCATTGTTGTTAAGCTTGTTCACCTGAATGTTTACTTCTCAAGGACATTTGTTCAAAATAGTAACATCTTCCTCTCTGCAGTGTTGACTTCCCTAATGGGTTCCAGCATTTTCTGTTTTTGAGTCGTGAACATCTTTAGTTGTAATTAATGTCTCTGGGTTTTCCACCTTGAACAGTTTAGCTTTACCATTGCAGCTCAGCAGCTTTAGTTTTCTGCTTCTTTAATTAATCCTGAAAAGGAGGTAGCTATTGTCTCTCTGGCATTTGGAAAAAAAAAGTTAAGTTTCAGTGAGGATTTTGGCGGTGAAATTCAGCTGGGAATCCGGTGCCTCTATTGAGATTTCTGCTCAGTATTCAGCTACAGCATCGCAAGTACACTACCAAATATAAGTTATGTTCCCTAACATTTTCCAGTGATAACATAAACTGCCTTTATAGTTAATGACTAATTTGTCAAGTCTTTGGTTTTCATTGCTTGACAAATAAAAAAGGCTGTGTATGACAGATTGCAGGGCTCTTGTGGAGCAGTGGTAGTGTTCCTACCTTTGGGTCAGAGGCCTAGGTTTGAGTCCCACCTCCTCCAGAGGTGACACAACACCTCTGAACGGTGTTGATTAGAAAATATTCATAATTAAAATATCCAGGACTATCAAGTCTACC